GACACTCCCAAATACTGCGTCTTGTACAAAGGATAAATTGACTAATAAGTATTTGAACAACTTAGCCAGTAGCACATATCGAACTTTAAAGATAACTGAATGTAATTGTTTGAATTTTCAGTCAGGAGAACTCAGGACAAAGATGAGTTAAAACTTCAGGAATAAGGAAGAACTGAAATGTAACAGAAGTTTGGAAACTCTTTGTCCAGAAGCTTCAAAAACAGGTTCAACAAACACCTATCTACTGTAATCTAGATCTTTCATCCCACCTTAGGGCAGCAGATGCACCAGGAATCTCAAAGATCCTTCCAGCCGCGGTTATGTCATTTCTAACCAAACTTAACAACAACAGCTCCACTGCATGAAAATATCTGCTATCTTTTTCACTGGCTAAGCAATATAGGAAAACAGCCTATTTTGTAAGATGCAAAGGAAATTTGCTACTTTCTGCTGCATCCCACAACGATGAATGACAAGAAAAGGGATGCATTGAGGCAGAGTCAGGAGAGGAATACTTATTGACATTCTGTATCCTACAGCTTTAAAAAATGTTGCACTTGCTGTTAAGTTAAGGAAACCTGGCTTAAAAAATTACTTAAATTGCCACAAAGAAATGATATCCAGAAATATTACAGATGAGATAATTCAGAAAGCCAGAATCAGCTTATAAATCAGGGTCATCATGCAGAAATATTTATCTGGGTAGTCATATCAGCTTACACTATGGAAGTCTGTTAAGAAGACACATGCAGATGTCCCTGTCTACCAATGTAATTTCCTATTAGTCAAAGCTTATGAACAATGAGAAAGGGTGTGAGCAGTGAAGGTACAGGCAGAACTGGCTGTATTGCTAAAGCTAATTTTGGATGCTGATCAGTGAATCAAAGATGAAGACGATTTTGCTGTTATTTTGTGTCGTATGTAAATTTCCCTGGGGAGTAAATGGGGTTTATTATAAATGGGGTTTATTGCAACTGTGGAAAAGCTTCTGGTGCACAAAGAAGTTCAGTTGGAAAAACAACAGTGCTGGGCTCACCTTTTCCCTGGCAAGTTGAATGACCAGCATGAGGTGGCTCAGTTCTCTGCAAAGTTCACACTCATCAATTCCTGCACCTTGTTGCCAGTAAATTCAGTATTGGAGAGTCAGCAGACAGCAGTGCTATTTATAAGCTGACATTTGGTTTTCAATAGGTTCTTGACTCATACAACCTGAAGGTCACTGAAATGAATATCAGAATCTGCTCAGGTGGTGCTTCCCAAATGAGCTGAGACCATCAGCAACATCTGGAGTATCTCCAACTTCCTCAACTTCAAGAGGTATGTTTTCTGTCATGCTAAAGTTTCTGTGGATCACCACAGATACTTTATCACCCTAATTGCTCTGATATATTGGATAACACTTGTTATTTGTTGTAGCAGATGTCTGACAAACAGGGAGGGAGGCCCTCTTGGCCAGTGAAAATCAAAGGAGTCCTTGTTTTATTCTTGCTATTCAGCAACTTCACTCATCTAATGGTACCTTTACTCACAGGCAACCTCAGACAAATCAGGTACTCTGTAATTACCACCTGAGCAGGGTGGTAGCAGAGCATGCATTTGCATTTTGTAAGATGAAAGGGACAAGAAAAGCCTTTGCTGTCAAACTTGAGATCAGTCTCTGGTTCCTCGACAAGAATCTGCTACATCCTGCAGACACTGACAGCAAGGGAAGCATATGGCTGCAAAGAGTGAGGAAAAAAGCCATGGGAGAACTGTAGACATCCAATTTTCTTGCATTCTCTTGAAGCAAAGAATAATCACAAGGAATATGCTGGTGGTCTGTTTTGCTGCAGAGTGAGTAATTGCTTCTTGCTGTGAGGTTGTGTTCTGCTGATTGACATCACCTACTGGATCTTTGTTCCTTGTTTTGGCCTTCCTATGCTTATCTCATCCATGTCGTCAGAACTCTTTGTGGTTTAAAAATCATATAGAGAAGTCTTGCTTCCCCTGGTCCTGGCTCCAAGGCCATCAGAAACATCAAAAAATGTTGCTGGAAAGTGAAGTAAAATTTTGAGACTTTCAGTCAAAATAACTGCAAACAGATAAACAGTGCTGGGCAAAACTTATCCCTAAGGATGTAGTGCTATTTACAGTTTTATCTAAATGTGTGGAATTTTGGCTTTAAAGAGCAGGTCAGTCTGTGCCTTACAGCAACTTTACTATGGCAAGCATCTGACCACCAGCTAAAAGGGCTATCTTTGAAATCTGCATTCTTGACAAAGTAGTCTATCTGAAACAAAATCTGTCACTGCCTGTGTACTTGCAGTGCTTTTACATCTTCATCTTCCTTTCCACACAGCAGCATCTCAGCAACCACTTCTCTGTAACGTTTAGAAAAAGTCATCCTGCTATTTATCCTTTTCTTTTAGCAAGTTATCAATGGAAAGGAATAAAGAGAGTCCCCTGATTCTGAGACTACTGTGACCATCTTCAATCCCCTTCATTTTTCTCTGGCCTGCAATGAACCTCTGCATTATTCAAAGAGCCAGAAGGGAGTCACAGATCTGGAAAATGCAGTGCAAGTCCTAGTCCAGCCCTCTGTTCAACAGCAGGATGAGCTGTAGCTTTGCCTTTCCCAGCAAGCATTTGCATAGTAAGTCTCCTCAAAACCTACAATCCGGGAGACCATTCAATCTACTTGAACAAAAACTCTTGGATTTCCCAGACATTCCCATTGAAAAACTATCTCTGTCTAAGCCACACTCTAACCTACACTAAACTAACCTAGAAGAGAACAAAATAGCAAAGCAGGAGACTAGAGTAACAGCAGAGAATGTTCCTTTCTGGGAATGACTGCTTGTCCAGCTCCATTGTCTGCAATTTGACCACTGACAGAAAATTATTAATGTGAAAAAAATACACACCAAATGGAAAAATGGAACCATAGTTAATCTTTAGATTAACTCAAAATGAATTAAGAACAGAAGTACCTACAAAACCAGAGAAATAACAAACAATGATGAAGAAACCTGGAGAAACCTGTTCACTTTAAAAGGTTAAGACAAGAGCTCAAAAGTATTAGAAAACTAAGCAGGGGCTAAGAGAGTAGTGTTTCATTCTGTGAGCATATTAGATAACTTGAACTTTGCTTTAACAGATTACTACACAGAAGAATGCATTTTAAGGTAAGTGTGGCTTTTAGCACAGACCCCTGTGCCCGAAGGCCATTAATTATTGTGCTTCAGGATTGCAATTTTCCATTTGCTGTACTAATATGGATTAAAAACTGCCAGTATTCCTGAAAGACAAACACTTGGTTGTGTCTTGCTGCTCAAAAAACATCTTTCTGTGCTGGGAGACACCTGGATGCTCCCCTGACTTAAAACTGTTATATCTTGTAGCTCCTACCTGTATACTTCCCCCTCTTATATTCCACAACATTTTTCCTCCAACTGTGCTATGCCCAGTGCCCAAAGTAAGAATGCAAGAAACCAGAAGAAAGGGAACAGCATCTGCCCAGTTCTGCTCTGCAGTTCCTGTTGGTGACAATGTGGAATCCATTCAGTGCAGGTAGCTCTGGGTGGAGCTGCAGGCTGAGCTCTGGGTGGGAGCCCCAGGCAAGGGGCCATGAAGTGCCCGCCTAGTGCAGACCAAAGGGCCCAGGGAGCTGTGGCTCAGCCAGGGGATTGGACTCTCCAGGAGCCAAGGACCTTGGACTCACTCTTAGCTTGTGAGGGTATAAAAGCCCAAAGTGTCCTTTCTTTGGGGTCCCTCCTTGGAGACATCAGCTCCAGCTGATATTTTGTTATTGCACCAATATTTGAATTACTTTAAGGATTGAGATGTCTGAGGCTCTGTGATGGTAAGGAAATCTGGTGTGACTGTGGATGTGGGGGATTCAGCTGTGAAGTGGCCTTGATCCCGGCTTGGTTGGTGCAGATGTAACTGCTGGAGTGGCTCCTGGATGGTCAGACAGAGAAGTTTCCTCAGCACTGAGGAACAGGCTCAGCAGGTAGGATTTTAGGTGACAGTGTGGAGAGCAGCCAGAAAACAGGAAAGTAAACCAGGTGCTTCTTTGGGAAATTTTCTTGCCCCTGTGTTAAGCAAGACTCCATGGCTTTTGTTGCTTCAGGCAAAATCTGTGCAGGTCTGACTCTCTTGTTGTCAGGGCTTGAATGAACAATGTGCTTTTAATTTCTATTTCCTCCCAAGAAATAGCTATGGGAAAATTCAAACCCATGACTACCGTATGACTGATAGGAAACTGCCTTTAGAGTTTCCTAAATACCAGAGAAGCCTATTATCCAGTTGGGTAGATGTGTAAATATATCTTAGTAGTGATAACTGAGTACTTGTTACAAAACTGTGTTGTTAGTGCTTGCATCCACTCAAGTGAATACTTGCCCACCCACACACCATATCAACCTGAATGTGAAGAAGGATCATTTCTCAGGAAAATAACACCAGAGATATACTACTTCTTATAAGCAGGTTGCTCTGTCCCTGCTGCCTATGACTTATTGAAGCCATATAAGACAATCATCAGATGTCCTCAGAGACACTGACAAAAATGAGGAGTAATGAGAAGTTCTGGGCTAAACTTAGGCTATAGTTTAGCCCAGGACTAAATTAGTGGGCTGGTTATAGAAGTATAATTATTTCTACTACAAAAACTGTATGTTGCATTCATTGGTGCCACTTCTGACGTCAAAACACAACAAAATTCTTTGAATTTATTTCTTTACAGGTGAAAAACCCCTCTGAAATTTCCTTTGTTTCTAGGAGTTGGTTTTCTTTTTTTATAACTAAGATTTTTTTTTTTTTAATGTCTTAGTATGCATTTAAAATGGTGACTTTTTTCTGAACTCCTAGGGATATGGGAAAATTCAAGATTCCACAACAGGTCCCCTAATTATACTAACTGGTTGCAACAGACAGGAATGTGATTCATTGTGAGTGAAATTTACGCTGCCACTGGGAGTGGCAATGGTTTTATATCCCATTGCTCCAGAAGCTCCATCAAGAAGCTCGACTGTCAAGTTGACACCGTCAGTCCTGGGGAGAAGGTAAATATCTCCATGATCTTTAATTCTAAATGACAGAACTAGGATCTAAGGATCAATATGTCCATTAGTAATATACATACCTCCTTTGCACATATATATGGCATGTGACATATTTTGAGGAAGTGACAAATATTTCCAAGTCGCTGTGCAATGTTTTGGATTACATTAAAATGTATGGGCTGAGTATTGATTATGTGCTTAACTTGTACAATGGTACTTCTAAATTTCTACTTTCCAAGTGTGCTTCTAAAGAAGATTAAAACCATTTGCCACTTCTTTTATATGACCCAGACTGGTAATTTATAAGAGCATAGTCTTTCTATAATGTCATATCTTTCAAACGTTTATATGGATAATTTAATTCTTCTTGTGTAATAGGGGAAATATGCTTACTACATGCGTGGAGGAAATTATGCAGACTCAGTAAGAATCAAACCAAATATGACTTGGAATAGTGGGACTTCTGAAGTACTGAACTTGTGATCAGATGCTTCTACAACACTTTACTGGATACAGACACTGGGAAAAGTCTTTCATGAGCAAGGAACTCTGTTCTAGGTCTAAGATATGAAGAGTTTTGTAGAACATTCAAGATGATCTGTTTGTAATAATAGTAACTGAAGGGTATTTGGGAAAAAGAGTTTAAGCTGCAGGAAAAAGGTTTAAGCCTCAGATAAAAAAATATGTCTGGAATTTTCCACTAATGCATAATGTGTTTTGTTCAAAATCTTACTGAGCATGTTTGTAGTTCCATTTTCTGTCAAACATTTGTTAACCAACAAGCCTTAGAAGGACACAGTATATCAGGCAGAGCTGAGTAATACAAGCAAAGTTTTCAGAGAGAAACAAAGAGTAAGATATGATCAAGGGTGTAATTAATAAGTGCTATGCCTGGAGGACTCAAGGCAAAAAGATCAGGATATTAACTGAGCTGGAAGTTTGGTTAGGACAAAGTTAGGGCTGAATGGCAAAGCCATAGCTATGGTATGAGCTAGAGAAGCAGCTCAGGTCAGAATATTGTTTCTGCAAATGTGTTTCTTCTGCTATTCAGGGTGCTGGTTTTCAGATTCACTGTGAAATCCCAAATGTATGAACAGGGAATTTCCATGAAGTACTGAATAATTCAACGAAGCTATTGTAAAAAACCTCATCAGGGCATCTAAACATAGTAGGTGTAAGGATGAGAAGCCTAAATTATTTTTGCCCTTGTTTCAGGTGATTGCAGTGCCACAATGTGCTCTCTCAGTGCAGCCAATGCCAGGTTCTGCCTTGACTTTTTCAGAGAGCTGAACAAAAGAAAAAGAAATGAAAACATCTTCTTCTCCCCACTAAGTCTTTCAGCTGCCTTTGGAATGGTTGTCCTTGGAGCCAGGGGCAGCACACTCGAGCAGATTGAGAAGGTAAGTCTTTGCTCTGAAAAAGGAACGGTGGCAAGATATAGGCCAAGAGGCTGTTTGTACCATCTGATACAGTTCCTAAACATCCACAGGGCTGATGCACAGAAAGCCCTTTTAAAAATACATTATGCTGTTCCTAATACCAAACTTCTTCAGACTAACCATTATTATTGAAGTGACTGTTCAATGAATACATCAGTGCTAAGGCAAGTGTTTTGGAGGTATCCCTGCACTCTCAGAGCTCAGAAGAGTTCCTTACCCTTAATGTGTTTTTTTGCCTTCTCTGTACACTCAAAGCCTTCTTTCTCACATAGAAATATTTCAAAGATTTCATGCACTCACCATCTCTTAAAACTACTTGGTCACTTGCAAGGATTTTATGGTAAAGAATAAAGGAGCCTTTCCACAGGGACTGTATCTGGCAGTGTTTTGGGTTAGGCTAGCAACACTGCTTCAGCTTTGAAGTATCTTCACTCAGCTGCATTCATCCAACATTTACATTGCAGGTCTTTCATTTCAGAGAAGTTTTGAGCAGTACGAGACAGGAAAACAGATACCCTTCTGAGGAGGTAAGATACAATTGCACCTAAGCTGAAACAAGAGGAGCCAGTTTGTCAGCCTTTTTCCTTGAAGGCAATCACTTAATCAGAAAGCACAGCAAGGCTGATCAACCTCTCCATCTAGATTTGCCAACCTGTTCATTACTGTTCCTTTATTACTTATTTAAGGGGCCTTGTGAGATCATACATTTCAACAGCTGAGCCTTCTCTTTTTGGGTTTCTAACCAAAACAGCAATGGCAATCTAAAATGTGATAAGTGCTTCAATTGCCACCTGCAAAGGTTTGACTACAGAGCATGCCAAAGGCACCTTGGCTTCTCCCAGCCTCTAAGGCAGCAGCCTTTTGCTCAGTGTGCCCAGAGACATCACTGTAGGACACGGCGTGGTTTGGAGGTGAACTGGTGCGGGATTGAAGGGGAACTGTTTTGTCATTCTGCACATATGGCACAGGGGGAATAGCAGGTGGTGTCCTGGTGCATTTATTCCAGTGCCTGTATCAGCTGGGTGGAGTAGGGCTTCTCATGCAGAGAGAGGCTGCAATTCACCCTCAGGTCCAACTTTACATAGGAAAGCTCAAGCCTACCACGAAACATCTGTTTTCCTGTTTGAAGTGTGAACAAGATGAAGGAGTCCATTCCCAGTTCCAGGCTCTGTTGGCTGAAGTCAGTGAACCTGGACCAGGCTGTTGTCTCACTATTGCCAACAGGCTCTTTGGAGAAATTACTTATCCCTTCTTCCAGGTAAGCAACCGTGGTCTCCCTTGTAACAGCTCCTAGGAGTGGGGAGCTCAGCGGAATGTTTTCCGTCATAAAGCACAAAGGGACATATGCCTTTTTTACTAATTTCTTTCTTGCTGATCTACTACATGGAACTATCCTGAAGCCATGAAATTATCTATCTTATAAAAATCATCACGTTACAATAAGCTTCTGCAATTTGTACTTTCCAGCAATACTTGGATTCCACAAAGAAATTCTATCGAGCAGAACTGGAACCAGTAAATTTTAAATACACTGAAGAAGAAGTCAGAGAAAAAATTAACTTCTGGGTTGAAAATGAGACAAAAGGTAAAGAAAAAAATGTGTGGGTCTTTCGGTTTGCAATTGAACCACTTAGGAATATCACTCTAGTTTTTTCCAAAGATAGCAAGATTTTTATATATTGAACACCTGCACTAATTTTTTCTTTTCAATAGGAAATAAATGTAATAAGGGGAACAAAAATGTCTTGAGTTCCTTGGTTCCAAAGCTGTACATAAATATTTGCCATTTGTCTGACAGCATCATACCACTTGTCAATTTAAAATAAGTAACTGTTAATAGTCTAAGTCAGCTGATTGCCAGAACAAAGTAATAATTCTTCTTAATTCATTATTTTTAAAGGTAAAATCAAAGACCTATTTGCTGCTGGTTTCATTGATCCTTCTACTGTACTTGTCCTGGTCAATGCTATATATTTTAAAGGAAAGTGGGCAGTAGAATTTAAGAAAGAAGACACTAAAGAAATGTATTTCCACCTGAACAAGGTACAGTATGGGCAGGAACTGAAGCAGCTGGGGGATGGAGGTCAGATGTCTGTCTCCTATAATAGCAGATGGGGCCTTTTCTCCTCTCTGTTGTCCCAAGACAAAACAGTGGTCTTAAGTGAGAAAAATAGAAGACTCTATTTCTCTCTGTTTTCCTAACCAAATATGTAAATGTTTGTGTCAATTCACATCAGAAGTGGCTCTTGAGCAGCTGAGATCCTTGTTGGAACAAATCCACTGAGCACATGCACTAACTTTGTTGGGGATTTTGCAACTAAGGGTGCTGTTTCAAAAACAGCCTGCTCTTGAGATTGAAACTGAGGATTCTGTTTCTTTGCTGCTATTTCTGAACAGAACACTGAGTGCTTGCGGGAAAAAATGTACTAAAGACAAATTATCTCAGGGGAATGTATACATTATTCATGAAGAATTTAATTTATGGGTTGCATAAGATGTATCTGTTTCCTCATCTGACACACCAGAAAAAAGAAAAATGTAATGAGGAAGTTGTGGGTAAAGTAATTTGATGCCATTAGAAAGGGAAATGTAGTTTTTATGCTTCTAAAATGGATAACTTCATTGGGACTACAGTTTACAGAAATATATCAATGCTACAAGTACATTAAACCCATGACCAGTTTAAATAATGTTTTTGAGCTCAACTATAACCTCAGTGCTGAAACCAATTAAAACCAGGGTGATAATTTCTGTATTTTCCCTTTAATATGTTCCATGTGTTCCAGAATGAAAGAAGGAAAGTGCAAATGATGTTTCAAGAAGGATATTTTAACATGGCTATCATAGAGGAACTGAAAACAAAAGTCATAGAGCTCCAATACTACAATAACGAACTGAGCATGTTCATTCTTCTTCCTGAGGATGACTGTGAGGACTTTACTGGCCTAGAACAGGTAACACTTCATTTTCTCTCTAGTAACATACATAGAGAGCAATACTTTAGCATTGCTCCAGTGTGGTCAGAAGACAAGTGGGAAAAACTGAACTTCCTTTCCTTGCATTCATTACGGTGCCAATCATTGCTCCCAATATCATCTTACAGCTTGAATGTGCCCTCACCTATGAAAAACTCACAGAATGGACCAGCTTGGCTATGATGCAACCACTGAGAGTGAAGGTGTACCTGCCCCAGTTCAAGATGGAGGAAAGTTATGTTCTCAACAACACTCTCCAGGAGATGGGAGTAATGAATGTTTTTGCCTGGGGAAAAGCTGATTTGTCAGGAATCTCTAAGAAAGATGGCTTAGTTGTGTCTAAGGCCATCCAGAAGACAATCGTGGAAGTCAATGAAGAGGGCACTGAAGCAGGTTGTTCCATGGGGCTTCTTCCAATACCTCTGTGTTGTCCAGTCACTTATGAGTTCAAAGCTGACCATCCATTCCTCTTCTTCATCAGACACAACCAAACCAACACCATTCTCTTCTTTGGAAGATATTCCTCTCCTTAAGTGGAGGTTATATTGGAAATTAGATATTTCTCCCCACTTACATCCCAACTGGCAAACAATAAGGATAAAAGACAAAACAAAAGACATTTCTCTAGACTTTATCCTAAAGTCTTGTTTTCTGTAAATAAAAAGACTATCTGAAAAGACCCAAATTAAAGATAAAACCCTTAACTCCATGAATCTTAGGCATATTTTACTTTTAGGAGGCCTCATGAAAATGACATCTACCTTAAAATACACTATGAGGTATTTGCCAAAAACTGTAGTCCTCTAGGGACAGCTGCAAAGAAGATTTTACTTTAAGCTTTTCCTAATGGGTATGGATCCAATAAACCCATTACTTTAGTAATGAAGATAAGTGATCTCTCACATGAAGTAGACAGGAGGATTGGGATCTGCATTAAAAGCATAACCTCAATAACTGGTCTCTTTTAGCCTTACCTACCTAAGGTCTCAGGGAAAATACCACTTTATAGGGGAGCAGAAAAGCATTCCCCTGGGGCCTCCTATTACATATTGCTTGGGAGCAGTGTTTCAAACTGGAACTCTCAGAGAGCAGAGAAGACAGAAGATTTCCTGGTGTAATTGTGCTTGTTCTCAAGAAGGGCAGACCCACTGCTTATTGTTCTTTTCTGTGCAAAACCCTGTATGTGTGAGCAAGTTCTCCAACTTCCTCATAAACTTCCACATAACAAAAACAGGGTTTCAGAATAATGGAACAATTTTCTGACTAGGCCTGCTCTGTGATGGCTGGGAATGAAACATACAATTCCTACATTCAACTTTGAGTAGTGATCAGCCATTCTCACTTCTAAGAGCCAGATCTGTTTGCGCCTCGGGAGTTTCTTGCTTCAGCTATTTTATTCATCCTTAACATTAAAAGAATTAAAAATATCTAGTGATGGTTTTTAGATTGGTAGTCTGTGTTTATTATTTATTATTACTATTTATCATGAAAAACCCACTGCAAGCTAAATATTAAATGTAGTAGTCTGTAGAATTAAATGAACAGAGGAATAGTGTCATATAGTAAGTAAAGATAATGGTAATCCTTCTCAAAAATGTAAATGACACTTAAGTTTACCTCCCACTTTTAAATATTCACCATGCTGAGTTTAGGCACTAGACAATTCAACATTATCTGAACCTGCTCCCTCTTTTACATGACCACTATTAGTTACCTGACTTGGGGATGAGCAGTTCTCTGGCAAGCAAATCAAGAGGAAAATTTCTGGTAAAGCTAATTTTCTTGCTTATGATCTAATTCCCTAAAGCACCTCCTGGATGTTGTGGAGTAGGTGGTGGGAAGGAATAACACGGGGTCACAAGAAGGGAGCAGTCTGCCCAGTCTGGCAGTAGGTAAAGTCCAAAATCCACATCTGAAGTATTCATCATATGAAGACTACTTGCTTTTATGGGAAAAATATTCCACTCTTTGATGACTCACTTCCCCTTTCCCTGTTACTCATTGATGGGAAGAAGGTAAACACTGTGAGCATACTGGTGCCACTGTAGAACATGATTCAAAGGGCTCTTCCAAATGCTGAGATATGCAGGAAAAATTACAGTAAATTACAGTACTCAACACAAATTGAACTGCTAAATAAAGAAGACCCATTATAGCCTGGAGATACCTCATATGGCTGCAACTGCAGTATGAAATACAGCCTGAATAGTAAAAGACACAGTTTTCATACCAATTAGCTGGTAAGAGAACACCAAACACAGGCTGTTAGCTCTTTGATAAATAAAGTATGCAAAAAACAGCTACATGATTTTTGACAACTGCCATTGGAATTTTGTGCATATCTGGTTTGTCCAATTAAAATAACTTAGGTTAAAAGAAAAAAAGAGTAAAATGAACAGTATTAGAATTTATTAGCTTGCACAATCAGGCCTATATGTTTTCAGATAAAATGTAATAGAAAAAGAATTATTGTGATAAAGGCAAGTGCTTTAACATATTATCCCAAAAAGCACAAGTCTCACAACAGGAGACTTGTTCTGAGCCTGACACATAGGCTTCTGTGTATGAGCAAAGGAGAAGGTGTGGCTGAAACAAAGACGTCACTTAGTTTACTGTAGCAGAAGAAATTTCATACTATAATTTTAAAAAAAGGAAAACCTGATTTCAGGGATATCTAGATAATTCAGAAACAGCAACAAACTACAGCATAAATTATAATAAAAAAACCCCTGTCTTCTCCTTACGCAATCTTTTTTCCTTATTGCCATTTTAATCTACATGACATCAAACAACGTGGTTAAAAACACCAAAAGCTGGAAAGTTGCCTCCTGCTTCTAGTTGTAGTGACAGCAGCTCCTACTTTGGAGGGCAGTGCTCCCACAAAATCAGGGATGCTTACTTAAAAATAGAAGGTAAGCCCTCCACTCTGGCAGCAAATGCTTCTCCTGCGGGAAACTAGTTTGTAAAGTTTGAGGCCAAGCAATAGGGCTTGCAGACCAGGGAAAAGTTGGAAACTCCAAACGGTGCCTGGAGCAGACATTTCCCTGAAAGGCATTCCACTGCCTCCTCCCCAGGGACAGGCTCAATGCCAAGTGTTGAACCACACCAGCATACATGACAGCCTGCAAAAGTGTAGACTGACAAAAAGCAAAGCAAAAGATGTCAAATAGTATTTGCATGAGGATCCATGGAAAGGTAACACACATTTGTCCCATAATAGAAAGATCTTTGTCTTTCCACAGTCTAATTACTAACTCTCTACATATTCGCATTTACTCTGAACTCTATTCTCCCTGATGATTGTAGTTCTCTTCAGTTTTCTCTGAAACTGCTTTTCTTTAAACATTTTCTTAGTACATATGCATAACATAATTTTTATTGTATCTTCAAAAGCTTTGCAACGCATAAGCAAGAAGGGCAAAGGAAGATTTTTGGATTGTCACTGAAAAAGCTGAAGAGGGCAGCTTTGAGTCACACCTCCCCTCATCCCCACTAATGAAGAAGACTAATGTTTATTTCCATCAAAATATAGCTGGTAGGAAGTTTTATAGTAGGAAGCCCTGCTTCCTTATGATCCCAGTAAGAAAGGCACTCAGGCACAGTAAAGTGCACAGTGTGTGATGCAGATGGACAGGCCATCCAAAGCACAAGAAAACATTACTTTCAAACACTGTACAGTAATTCCTGAGCAACCAGAAGAAATTAAATGTGAAAATAAGAACAGAGGAATGGAAAGAGCTGTTTTCCCAGCTCCTTGGTCTCCTTGTTTATGCCAGCATCAGGGAAGAGGGGCAAACACCATGTACTGGTCTAGGCACGAAGGGCAGCAGAATCCTTGCTCACCTCTTTTTTGGGACAAACATGGATATGAAAGAGATTTTAATTTGCTTGTCTTGCTTTCACAGTACGACACTTGTAGCTTTTGAATTCCAGGAGAAGAGTCTGTTTTCCCCAGGTCCCTAACGAGGCAAAGTTACAAAAGAGCAGGTGTCTGTTGGTGACTGCCCATGCTGATCAAAATTTGCAGCTACTCCCAGGCTGATTCTGCAATCACTTTTGCACTAACAGTTGCTGTATTAAAAACCCCCAAAATTAACCCAAGGGTTTGCAGCTACAGACTAGTCTCTGGAGAAGTTGTACTGCCCCATCTATGATTACTGTCACAACCAATCTTTCTTTCTTCCATGAGCTTCTCTACTTTGGATGTTTTAAACCATATTGTCTATCTTGGCAAGGTAGTTTTTCACGTTAGGGTAGCTTACATAATGAACCGAGCAGTTTCAGATTTTCAATCACTGTACCCGTGCATAGAAACTGTTGTGGTGAGTGTGTTGCATATGTAGACATATGAAACATAGAGTGTACAAAGAAGGCAAATATGGTACATGGGAGAAGAAAACAGAAACATCTGCATGCCCTCTTCCAGGAGACTAGATGTAACAAAATGTGTTTTGAGAAAATCCTGGACATTATGCAAAGAAATGGCCTTTTTAGCAGGGTCGCTTCTGTCCTTCCTAGACAATTTCCACAGGGGTCCATACAAACAAATTGAACCATAGCATACAAAGGACTATAGGTCCCTAGGAAAACTCTACATAGAAGCCCCAAAGATGTGCTTGAGCAATTGCTGAGTGGTAGCTGGAACTCTAATGTGAATATGTGAGAGTCAGAAAAGTCATAGACATGACAGCTCTTTGCACACAAAACCTGTGCCCTCAGGCAGTAATGGTTTGAGAAGCATGGATAAAGTAAAAATCAACAACAGTCCAGCTCACAGAATAGGGAGCAAGGGACAAGGTGAGAGGAAAGCTCCTTCTTATCTTCAGATTTTACCATCCTCTTTGCTGCTATAATATCCTCATTCTGAATTGGCAAACTAAAAGCCACTCCAATTATCAGGCTCTGCACAGACATCCCTGCATTTCAGCAAGGCAAACAACACTGTGAAGGGTAAAGCAGCTCCCCTTCCTTTTCACAGAGGGTGCACCTATTGCCTTATGCTCTGTGACTTAGTAGGTACAAATTTGGATTTCTATTATCCATTGCCACGGCCTTTGCAGATGCCAGATTTGTTTCTTTACTGCTCATCAAGTCTATTATTTAATAAAGAGTAATAGCTTTTTACAACTGAATTATATTTTATATTGTGTATTATGGTTGTCTAACAGACCATGAATGTTCCTGTAGACAGATTCTGTAGTTTATTCACCTGCCATAGTTACAAGGTATGGAAGATCTATGGGAATGGCCTGTACAAGTACCATGGGCCTTGTTGCCACGACCTGCACAGAATGAAAATTAAAAGCTGACTCTTAGTCATTCTTTAAATACCACTGACTGGTTTAAATAAATTTCTGAATACCTGAATACTCTGGGGTCAGGCTTACAGTCCAGGAAATATGGAATTCCTGACCTTTCAAGTCTCTTCCTCTTCCAGGCCCATCTTCAGGCTTCTCAGTCATCTCAACATTGTTGCTCTAATTTTCATCAAAACAAGGCTTTAGCAAAATGTGCTTTCTCCTCAGAGCCCTTCTCTCCTTCTCCTGCACACCTGTGCTGTGGACCCTTCTAGCTTGGCCTCAGGTAAAATACTGTAGTCTCACCTAGGCAGAGGAATGGATGTGGCTGTACATGCCATACACCACACCAGTCTCTGCACTCCAGGAATATATTTCTGCATTTTGTCAAACCAAAACACTTTTCAGTCTTGAAAACTAAGCAGAAACTTTTAAGTTTGTTCTAAAATGAAAAAAATCCATTTCAAACCCTTTCAATAGAATGACCATCCTGCGGCTGGCTTTGCTTGGAATTACATTATTTTGGCAAGGTCAGATGACCACCACTCTTGAGGAACTTCCTTTTGTTCCACTGCATGGATGCTGCAGTGAGTTGTTGCATATCTACCAGACCTTCAGTAGTTCAACAGCATCCACCTTTCCCTTCATGGTTGGTGGGAGCACTGTGCTTAGAGTGCTGTCAGCACTGACAGTGCCTCACTGCCGAGGAGAAGAGGTTATAGCAAAAGCTTAAAAAATTCATTTTTAAATCGGGTTTTACTTCAATTAATAAAGGTTGACTTGCTGCAGATAGAACATCAGCTTAACATTGGTCTGCTCAATGTTTCAAGGTGCAATGAATCAAAAGGTCATGACAAAAGGTAGTGACTGAAAAGATGACTCCTTGAAGGCAACAGTGGGAGTGTCTCAAATCATGCAATATATATCACCAACAGCTCAGGGAGCTGTTTAGCTTCAGCTGGCAAGCTGGATTATTACATACCTCTTTGAAGTTTGTGGGGTAAGTATTTAACCAAGAAAATGTAATTTTTAATTTGTATCCTTTAAGATGGAAAAAAAAAAAGATATTATGTTTAAGAACCTTAAGGTAAGTATAAGACAGGTATGTAAAAAGACAGCATATACAGTAATTTTGTCTTGCCTTCTCAATATATCTTATACTGTTTGACTGTCAAATACTTTTAGGTGTGCAAAATATGTGGCTTGTGCACTACAGCATTGAGTAGAAATAGTTCGTTTTCATTTAAAACCTGTTTGTCACATTAAAACTATCTTTTTATAATGTTAATAATTGGGAATAAAGACATTTTTCTTTTCTCAATCTCACTCCCTGACAAAACCCATATATTATACATATATTTATATATATGTAGCAATATATATATATATATATATATATATATATATATATGCATGACTGTGCTAAAAAGTACCAGTAGAGATTAAATGTCTGAAACAGGACCACAGGAAAACCCTAAACTTATATGTCAGCATCTAGGCAGCTGTCTTACAGAACAACTTACTCCTACTCTTGCTATAAACAACAGAAAAGCAACCTCCAAATTTGTGGCTGGTTGTACTAAGCAACAGTAAGAAGTACACAAAGTGTAGTGAGTTGACTACGTTTCATTTAAAGATTGAAAGCAGTCACAGAAAAAAATGAAATATTAAGTTTGCATTGCCTCAAACACCATTCAGAGCCCTCTGGATGGCCATGAGGGAAACTCATTCATTCAATGTTATATTTATCATATCAAAGGGTGGATGAAATTTTCTATTCCCTAAAAGGCAAGTACAAGGTACTATCTTGCTGATAGTATCTTGTTGAGACAAAACAAACACACATTCGTATGTAAATGGATCAGGATTTACAATATTTCTAATGATTGGCAGGCTTCACATCATTCACTGGTTCAGCATCACAAAACCAACAATGAACTGGCAGTTTCTGGGCTATTGGCAGAACTTTTTAAAACAAGCACTACAAATCGTGACCAAAAGTCATATTTCTGTTTGCTTTAGGTAACGCTGATTTCACAATGGGCTCCATCAGTGCAGCAAATGCAGAATTTTGTTTTGATGTGTTCAAAGAGGTGAAAATTCAGCATCCCAATGACAACATCTTTTATTGCCCCCTGAGCATGATTGCAGCCTTGGCCATGGTCTATCTGGGAGCAAGAAATAACACTGAGTATCAGATAGAGAAGGTAAGTTACATAAATGAGTATAAACTATCTGTGATCCCATTCAAAGAGGCAGCAGATTATCCATTTATATCTTCCAAACTTCCTAGCAAAAGAATGGCTTTCCAAATTCTGGAGCCACTTTTCACTTACTGCATTTCCCCATGAAGGGCAAGAAAGAGCAGTTTTGGAGGATGGTTAGGGCAGGTCTCTTGCTTCAGCTTATATTATCTCAGAGACCTGATTCCTCCCAGGTGGAAAGGACAACTTGAAATGTACAAAAGATGAAATGGTTCAGGAAACATGAGTCATAGTTATAAATAAAATGTAAGGCTGTAGCTGATTTATGGACAACGCCATTAACTGGAAAATGAGGGATCTAAGATGAAGATCACAATCACAAATTTTCAGTGTGGTGCCTGGTTCAAAGCTCACATGAAATTTCTCAGTTCGTCTATGTGCTAATCAGACTTGGCTAGTGAAAACCTACAGTTTTAGCACAGACATCAGTGACTGTCAATGGACTTCACATTCCTAATTTCTACTTTCAATTACAGGTTCTTCACTTTGACAAAATTGCAGGACTTGGAAGTATCCAGAGCAAGGTACAGAAACCTAAGGTATATTGATTTCTCTTTCACATCCTTTTTCCGAGAATAGACTGTTCTGATTGTGCTTTTAGTAGTATCAACACCTTGTCAAACCTTTGCCAATTCTCTTAATTTAAGAGATGTAAGTTAAAAAAAATACAAAAAACCACCAAAGCCCAAAGAACAACAGCAACAAAACAAATGCCAAGCAAACAACCACCAACAAAAACAAACAAACAAAAAAAACCCCAAAACACCACCAAGAAAAGAGGACAGGCTGAACATATTGCAAGTGACAGGACAGGATAGGGTGCTCTGGGCACCAGGATACACTTTGGTGTAAATCAACTCCACACCTGCAAGTGCTACTGGGGAACCAGAAGCTTGGGTACAATAGGCAGACTTGGGGCTGAGACTCCAAAGTGGGACAGGAAAATGCTTCAGTAGAAAAGAGCCCAGAATCCTCAAAGGATGGAAAGTAACCACACTCTTATAAAGCTACAGGGGCTTTTCCAGCCTCCAATTCCCACTTTTATCCCAAGAGAACCATGAGGGGTCCCAGTATCTTGGTATCTATGTACATGTATGCTTCTGTCCATGTTATTCTGCTGCCTCTGTAAAGATAACAAAAGCCATAGAGCCTGGTCTGTCCCCATTCACTTGGGATCCAAAACACAAGGTGAAACTTAAAAAAAGATGAGACTTTTTTTTCTTTTTAACAAGGGTAGTATCTAAAATCAGAGCATTTAGGGACTCATTAAGCATTTAGAAAGGAGCTGTTTAACAAAACTATTCTCAAAAAATAAAGCCCCACCTACTTTTTACCAGTGTGCAGTTTTCTTACACGCTTTTAGCCTGTGTCACCATTCTTGGGACTTGAGACTTGATCCATTTTTTTCTGTATTACAACACACTTCCTGACTCTCCTGCCATCTTCTTCCATCTGCGCCTTCTGCAAAAAAATGCAAGCAGCATCTGGGAATTAGAGGCTTTGTACCTATGACAAGTCACCAATTTCAACAATTAACCACTAGAATGAGTGGCATCATAGGCTGTGAATGAATTACACATCATTAGCTGCTTATACTGAACATCTCTCTCATGGAACTCTTAGACTCTATTACATGTTCATTTGCAAATATTCAAACACTGTGTGTTACATTATTTGTACTTTATAAATAATCCTCTTTCTCATAAAATAACCTAAAAGCTATATGTTTTTGTCTTCTTATCAACAACTCAGTGTGGCAAGTCTGTGAATATCCACCTACTGTTTAAAGAAATTATCTCTGATATCACTGCACCAGAAGCCAATTATTCACTGCACATTGCCAACAGACTCTATGCTGAAAAGACAAGTCAGATCCTACCGGTAAGTGATCTCTTGCTAAACCCAGTAATATTTATCTTTAAAAATAAGTAAAAATGCTTTAAAAAATGAAGTGGACTTAAAGGTGATAAAACAGTGTAAAATAAATCTGAAAGCAAGGGGTTTGGATCAGGCTTTCTTCCATAAATTCTTAAACATTTTTAATGTATGGTTTTAACTGGTCACATAGGAAAGATGTCAGATCTGAAATTGTCATGAAAGAAAATAATTTTTCTGGTCTAGTTTTAGCAAATTCTTTCAGGAAGTAAGCAATGAGAACACCTTAACCATGACATCACTATAAAAATCTTATTAGCCCTATTTGGTTTTGTTTTCATATTGTTCTTTTAAAAGTACTAGTTCACTGGCTACAATTAATTGGTGTCTTTACAGAGCTACTTAAAATGTGTGAAGAAACTGTACAGATCTGGTCTAGAAATGGTCAACTTCAAAACAGCATCAAATCAAGCCAGACAGCGCATTAATTCCTGGGTGAAAAATCACACAAATGGTAAGTCAGACAAGATTATGAAATACACTTCTCTCTGACAACTGTATTCTAGCAATTTCTGAAAAGACTAAACATTAGAAGGGAAATTTCCTCCTCCTGTCCTCATTAGTGGATATTTTCTGTGGAAAGAGATGACTCTAGTTCACCTGTGTGGCAGTGACAGAGTGTTTTAAATACATCTGGCAAAGGCAGAGATGCCATGATATGCACACTTAATACGCACAGTTTATATGCACACTTTTTGTTTCTGGAGAGATTTTACAACGTTAGTACCAGCTTCTCTAGAATATTGGCATATTTTTACAAGGATGTGCAGGATAGGTAAGAAGTAGACATTCAGGGGAGAAAGTAACGCACACTAAGCCAATGGTGGGAAATAAATGATTCAGAATCTTGTGTTGAGGTGAGAGGAAAAACCTAGAGTAAATTGTGAGAAACAAACATACTGAGAAAGATAAAATCTGTATTGGTTCTTCCCTCTCCCTTTCCTTCTTTTCTATATAAATATTTCTTTTTTTCCAAGGGCTGGATAGAAATGTTCCTGAGAATCTACAACACTCTTGAACTTACCTGTCTTCTTGCAGAAATGTCTGGCCAGATGTCAGTCTTTCAGTGTATTATTAAATCATCCTCATGAACCTTAATGCCATGTGCGGACTATAGGGGAAAGAAGAGTCAAGTGAAAGAGCAGTGTATTGATTGACTTCTAAAATGCAAGACTATTTCTGTGTAACTTATCACTCTGTGCCCCACTTCTTTCTTAAAGGACAGATCCGGGATTTCCTTGAACCAAGCTCTGTTAATCCTCAGACTGTGCTGGTCCTTGTGAACGCTATTTACTTCAAAGGGATATGGAAGACCGCATTTAAAGAAGAACACACTCAGAAAGTGCCCTTCAATGTGACTGAGGTGGGGGGCACAGACACAGTTTCTGGCCAGATGTGTATTTGTTGTATTTACAATTCTGTTGTCATTGGCTGGGTGATTTACCTGGGTGCCTCACTGTTAGATTTACGACA